CAAGTTGAGTACGCAAACTCAATACATCTCTTTTACTGTGAGGTAATAATTTCTCCGAGTTTTGCGGTTGTGGGCGGGAGTGTAACACACACGTTGCGGTTGCGGGCGGTAACGGTCAGAAATTCAGCGGGAGCGGGCAGGAGCGGGATGAAGAAAACAGTCCTGCGCAGGGCTTTACTGCTGCGTTTAAGAGTTTCAATTTTTTTATGAATTCGATTAAAAATAAAGGTGCCCAGCCCGGCCCGTGTCCGAGGTAATTGCACAGTTGTTGGCCCGAAGCCCGGCCCTCAGGCTGTCAGGCCGGGCCGACCCGAGGGCCTAGGGCTTCAGTGCAGGAATCTGCTAAGCACTAGTCCCCATCACTGAGCACTAGTCCCCATCACTGAGCACTAGCCTCCATCACTGAGCACTAGCCTCCATCACTGAGCACTAGCCTCCATCACTGAGCACTAGCCTCCATCAATGAGCACTAGCCTCCATCACTGAGCACTAGTCCCCATCACTGAGCACTAGTCCCCATCACTGAGCACTAGTCCCCATCACTGAGCACTAGTCCCCATCACTGAGCACTAGTCCCCATCACTGAGCACTAGTCCCCATCACTGAGCACTAGCCTCCATCACTGAGCACTAGTCCCCATCACTGAGCACTAGTCCCCATCACTGAGCACTAGTCCCCATCACTGAGCACTAGTCCCCATCACTGAGCACTAGCCTCCATCACTGAGCACTAGTACCCATCACTGAGCACTAGCCTCCATCACTGAGCACTAGCCTCCATCACTGAGCACTAGTCCCCATCACTGAGCACTAGTCCCCATCACTGAGCACTAGCCTCCATCACTGAGCACTAGCCTCCATCACTGAGCACTAGCCTCCATCACTGAGCACTAGTCTCCATCACTGAGCACTAGTCCCCATCACTGAGCACTAGTCCCCATCACTGAGCACTAGCCTCCATCACTGAGCACTAGTCCCCATCACTGAGCACTAGTCCCCATCACTGAGCACTAGTCCCCATCACTGAGCACTAGTCCCCATCACTGAGCACTAGCCTCCATCACTGAGCACTAGCCTCCATCACTGAGCACTAGTCCCCATCACTGAGCACTAGTCCCCATCACTGAGCACTAGCCTCCATCACTGAGCACTAGCCCCCATCACTGAGCACTAGCCCCCATCACTGAGCACTAGCCCCCATCACTGAGCACTAGTCCCCATCACTGAGCACTAGTCCCCATCACTGAGCACTAGTACCCATCACTGAGCACTAGCCTCCATCACTGAGCACTAGCCTCCATCACTGAGCACTAGTCCCCATCACTGAGCACTAGCCTCCATCACTGAGCACTAGCCTCCATCACTGAGCACTAGCCTCCATCACTGAGCGCTAGCCTCCATCACTGAGCGCTAGCCTCCATCACTGAGCGCTAGTCCCCATCACTGAGCGCTAGTCCCCATCACTGAGCGCTAGTCCCCATCACTGAGCGCTAGTGCCCATCACTGAGCGCTAGTCCCCATCACTGAGCACTAGTCCCCATCACTGAGCACTAGCCTCCATCACTGAGCACTAGCCTCCATCACTGAGCACTAGCCTCCATCACTGAGCACTATCCCCCATCACTGAGCACTAGCCCCCATCACTGAGCACTAGCCTCCATCACTGAGCACTAGTCCCCATCACTGAGCACTAGCCTCCATCACTGAGCACTAGCCTCCATCACTGAGCACTAGCCTCCATCACTGAGCACTAGTACCCATCACTGAGCACTAGCCTCCATCACTGAGCACTAGTCCCCATCACTGAGCACTAGCCTCCATCACTGAGCACTAGCCTCCATCACTGAGCACTAGTCCCCATCACTAAGCACTAATTCACACCAGCAACAACGCGTTTTCCTTTCAGAATCTGAAACAGGAACTGAGAAGAACATGATTGTGTTAATAACAGGTGGCTGGGGTGTAAGACTGGAAGAATGGTTGCATCTTAGTTTTCTGGCTTCTTTGCATCAAACGTTACGTTTTCATCACATCTGAGACGTAAAACTGACGGACTTCAGTAGAGAAAAGTAAACGCAGGCAGACACAACCACTAAACCACTCCAGATAAAACCTCCGCGGTTAAATTAACCATTTTAAAAGTTAAATTTTAAGGCTGGTTAGTTAGATGTTAACGAGAACGCCTGATCGTTACCAGGGCCGGGTTTGCCGACAGGCGACACAGGCGGCCGCCTGGGGCACCATCTGATGGATAGGGCGCAAAATAAAAAGAAACAATAATAAAAGTTTATTACATTTATGTTTGTAATATGAAATGCACTCTCTACATACTCTAAATTCCCCTCTGATATGACATGAAATTAAAACATCAATATTTAAATTCTAATGATCTGGCTGCATGACGAGCTCCCGCTTGGGCCACCGCTCAGACGCATTTGACCGTTAAGGGTGCCGTAGATCACGTGTGTGGGCAGCACTGTAGAAGGACATCCTGTTGTCGTTGCATTTAAACTTTTGAGATCTTTTACGATGAAAAGAACACCTAAGCCATCGGGATCAGCATTCCGAAAGCGAAGGAAGGAAGAAGAAAACAAACGGGCCCAAAGCAGAGGTATGTAGACTTTCTAAGTTTTGCAAAGGAACTTTTTGCGTTAGCATTGTAGCTAACTGCCTCTCCTGCCTCGCACGGTCCACGGACGGACCCTCGCTAGCTGTTTACATACAAAATACAGTCTCTCATAACTTTAACCAATTAATTTTACTTTAGAATCGTCGTGTCCAGATGCAGTGAGACATATCTGCAGCCACACAGGCACCTGTTGACACCAGGGGGGCGGGACTGTCTTCTACACCTGATGAGTCTCACTGTGATGATGAAGGGAAGATATTTTTTACCGTTTTTTGGAGTATGATTGCAGCCTTTTTATGAACTTCGATTCAAGTTTTAAGTACGCATACAAAATGAATTTAATATTTTCTTATCAGAAGAACGCTAGGTGTGGGTGTAGCAAAAATTTTAACATTGTCCTTCACATCGGGTGGGCGGCACCGCCGCGGCCGTGGCGGGGACTCCCCCGCTGCCGCCGGGCTCGGCAGGGAGTGAGAACTGCCTAAACACAGCATGACATCTTATGCCGTCTCTTTCTTGTTTACGCTGCAGCGTCTTCTATCCAGGCATCACGCAGCAGCAGCACATTTACTGAGCTACAGTCTCAGCATCTAGAACCAGGTGAGTAAGTTACTTGTTAGGCTATTTGTAATCAGCAGTAGAAACGGGCTTTTTCAAATTAAACGGCTTATCACATATATCGATATGCAAAATTAATTTATTTAAATCCACACCAGACACGTGTTTGTGGCACAATCAGTGCAGCATTGATTTAGCATTGAGAATATTAAATAATGAGAACATGCACATCTGAAATTGTCTCCTTAAGATGTTATTGTCAGTTAGGCTGTAAATTTGTAAAAAAGGATGGATGTTAGTTTTTGTGACATAGTGAGTCATCTTCAGGGCATAAAGGTTTATGCCCTGAAGACGGTGGTACCGAAACGCGTCGGCGTTTCCTTGTTTAATAAATGAAAACCTCAGAGTGCCTCAGATCACCGGTTCTTCTTCCTCATGTTCTACAATGTATTTGATGCTGAAGAGCACCTGAGAGAGAGACATAAGTTTTTTCAAATATTCCCCACTTCCACCTGTTTTTGATCATTTTATTCATGTTTTCATAGAACAGATTAAAAAAAAGATCAATAAAATAAAAAACATTAAAAATAATGAAAAGCATCACTGCACATGACTGAGGAATACTGAATGGGAAATTGGCACTGTTCTTAAGTAACACGCATCATAGGGTTAAGTTGCTTTGTGTGTGTGTGTGTGTGTGTGTGTGTGTGTGTGTGTGTGTGTGTGTGTGTGTGTGTGTGTGTGTGTGTGTGTGTGTGTGTGTGTGTGTGTGTGTGTGTGTATGTTCTCACAGAAGAAGAACCCAACACCAGCAGAGTCAGTGCTCCAATCCAACAGCCTGAAGAGACGCCATCATCAGCTTCAACAGATGTCTGTGAACATGTATGAGCTGCTGGCCCCATGGATCCTGCTGACTGGCCACAGCAGTTGAACAAAATGGAAAGTAGAACTTTCTTTATGATGACACTTTGATATTTGAGTTTTGCTTTTGATTGCACAGTTTAATGCTGCTGTTGATTTTGCATCCCCCCCCCCCCCCCCAATGACATTTGAATGACATTTTGGAGTTATTGGTTATTGTAATATTCTCAGGTTACTTATCTTTCAAGCTTACATTTATTCTTCAGGCTGTTGGCTTTAAAGAGTTGCTGTGTGAACATTTAAAATAAAAATTAGTAACTAAGGAATAACTGGAGTTGCCTTTTCCAATGTGTGGTGGGTGGGTGGACTTGGGTTTGGGTGAGAGGAGTGCAGGCGGGGGGGGGGGGGGGGGGGGGCAAATGGGCACTCTCGCCTTGGGCACCAAATTACCTAGAGCCGGCCCTGATTGTTACCGATAACACACCCCGAAGGAGGCACCGAACCTGAAGCGTCACGGTTTTTACCACAACACCGGGCTGCTGACTACCCCGCGTAGCCCGGTGAAGATGGTCGTTACACGGACACACAAGGGCAGAACCTCCGGTTGACCTGCCGTTACCCCCGCTGCTCACTGGTTAGCCTGCTTAGCTGCCCAGCTCGGTAACCGGTGAAGAAGGTAACCTCAAACACGTTAGAGCACCGCGTAAAAATCACTGTAACGTCACAGCAACCTCAGCCGGTGCGTGAGCAACACGCACGCACCTACACACACAAGGTATCAACTTTCATTTAAAAACAGTCAACCGGTCTACCGGCGGCGCCAGCACCCCGCTGCACAAGAGATAACACCGGTGATAATTACTACACACGCGCTCATCACCACACACGAGCGCGCGCAGACGCGCTCACCGGTCGGCATGAACCTGCACGGTTCGGTCCGGGTCAGGTCTTACCTCCTTCCTGGTCCGGTTGGAGACAGGCTGGAATGTTCTTCTTCCAGCCGGGCATGATGCACTTTAGGGCGGTTAGGGAGTCCAGGGCGGCCCGCTAGCAGTCACACACCAACAGCGGCGGGAGGAGCAGCAGCAGCGGTGACAGCAACATGGCTAGTTAGCTTTAGCTCGTGCTGGTTCACCTCCCCCAGCTCCCACTCCAGTCTCTCTCCTGCTCCTCCTGCAGGTCTCTCTACCCCCTCCCCCTCTGTAACTCTACCCCCAGAGCCTCGCTGTCTCTGGAAAAGCGCAGGAGAGAGAGGGGGGGGGGTTGGGGGTCGGGACGTGACGGCCGTGAAGGAGCACCGGTCCGAACCCGAACCCGTTATCTCCACAGATGGTTAAACTGCCAGAAATGGGCTCGACACGGCGGGATTTTAGGCGCCTCCACGGCACGCGCTAATAGTGTTGTGCACGCGCATCCTTCATTCATTCACAGCAGAAAGAGGCAGGACGCCCGGAAGGAGCATCGATTCAGCTGATTTATTCAGACTGAAGGAACACGAGTTGGTGTACAGTGTGGTATTATGTTTCATTTATTAGTTTATTTAACCAGGAAGGTCTCATTGAGATTAAAAACCTCATTTCCAACAGAGCCCTGGCCAAAAGGCAGCATGTTGCTGGGTAAGTTCTGTAAAAAGCATTTTGAGCTGCACTAATCTTTTTGTGAAAAATCACAGCTGCATGGCTCAAACGGTAAACGTATTTGATTTAGGGCTTTCTAGAGTCCTGGAACCCCCAAAGGCGCTTTACAACACAGTCAGTCATTGAAACATTCACACACACATTCACACCCTGTGGTGGGGATGAGCTACGTTGTAGCCACGGTTGGCAGAGGCGAATCTGCCGTACGCAGGCGCCACCGGTCCCTGCAAAGACCACCAACGGGCAAGGTGGGTTAAGTGCGCTGCGCAAGGACCCAACGCAGCGACAGACTGAGTGGGGCTCAAATTCTGATTACAGGACGAGCACTTAACTCCTGTGCCACCATCAGCATACAAACAAAACAAATGTTTCCAGATTAAGATTAAAAATTAGGTAACTTATTTCTCACGGCACACCCCATTCTGATCTCTACGCTCGGCTGAGCTGGAGCTACTGACTATTCCTCCCTTGGTATAGATCTAAAGGAGACCGGGCTTTCTCGGTCTTGGCTCCATCCTTCTGGAATGAGCTGCCACTCAGCATCAAACAGTCACCTTCACTGCATGTCTTCAAGGGTCGCTTGAAGACTCATTTTATCGTTCGGCTTTCATGTGACTTGGTTTTATGTCTCTTATTCTTTTTTATATATTTTTGTATGTGGTTTTTAGGACTTTATCACTTTGTTTTTATTTGAATCTATTTGATGATGCGCGCCTTGGGCTTCCGCAGAGGCAGTGGAAGGTGCTCTATAAATAAAGTTTGATTGATTGATTGATTGATTGATTGATTTCAGACCCACAAAAATGCGTGCATGGAGAGAATGTGCTAACTCTGCACATGCATGGAGAGAATGTGCTAACTCTGCACATGCATGGAGAGAATGCGCTAACTCTGCACATGCATGGAGAGAACGTGCTAACTCTGCACATGCATGGAGAGAACGTGCTAACTCTGCACATGCATGGAGAGAACGTGCTAACTCTGCACATGCATGGAGAGAACGTGCTAACTCTGCACATGCATGGAGAGAACGTGCTAACTCCACACAGAACGGCTGCAACTAGGATTCAAATCTGCGACCTTCTTGCTGTGAGGTAACACACTAGCTGAGCCAACACTCAGTCTTTCAGTTAAACATTTGATTACATTTTATTTTTCATATTAAAACCGCTTGGGTGAAGAGAGGGGTGGAGTTATCACCTGACTACTACCTAGTGTTAAGTCTGCTTCGATGGTGGGGGAGGAAGCCAGTCAGATCTGGCAGGCCTAAACATATTGTCAGGGTCTGCTGGGAACATCGGGATGACTCTCCTGTCAGACGATGCTTCAATTCCTACCTCCGACAGAATTTCGAACACATCCCGAGGGAAGCGGGGACATTCAGTGCGTTTACATGCAGCCAGTAACCCTTTTAAAACCCGAATATTCACAATAACCCGGTTCCGCATGGCCATGTAAACACCGCCAAAAACCCGGATATGCTCATAACCGGGTTTTTAAAAACCCAGTTACTACACCTGGGGTAACCCTTTTCTAACCCGAATGTTTGGTCGTGTAAACGCATACCGGGATATCCCCATCAAAGCGTGTGTTCTTCGCATGCTCTGTTCGCAAGGAATCGTCGTCTTTTGAGTAGCGAGACGTCTTGTATGTTTAGCGCAGCTCTCTATATATTTGCCATTTCTTGCTCACGTACTCTCCTTCAAATGAAGGCCAGTACGCACAGTCGTTGTAAGAGCTGCTGGTGGGTCAATACCAGCACTAGCGCGAAAACAAACACGGTCGCTATCGCTTCCGAACTGGGAAACATGTTGTTTTCACGGATACCGGAACAAGAAGAACCGGAAATGACACATATTGCATCTCGACGTAGTCCATACGTCCTGACGCTACCTCAACGTCCGCATTTAAATCGGGTTATGCAAGTTAGGGGTAACTCTTTCTATTTATGCTTGTAAACGGGTTATTCTGATCAACTCAGAAACCCGAAAACCGACCGAAACCCGATCATAACCCGGATATTGGCTGCATGTAAACTTAGTCATTGAGTCTGAGAAGGCCATGCTCCATAGTTCTAATGTCGAGGTGGCTGACTGGAGCTGCAGCCGCAGGGTTGTCTGTGTCTGTCGTGGTGGTAACCCCCAAACCCGCTGGTGGACACCAGCGGTCAAGCAGATGAAAGAGTCCTATTGGGTCCTTTGGGCCTCCAGAGGCAGCTGATAGTTACTGGCAGTCCAAGTGGAATGGTGTGTGGTTGCAGAGGCAAAAACTCAAGCGTGGGAGGAGTTTGATGAGACTGTGAAGCAAGACTTCCATTTGGCTTCAAGGAGATTCTGGTCCACCATACAGCGTCTCAGAAGGGGGAAAGCAGTGTGCTACCAACAGTGTTGGGAGTAACGCCGTTTAAGTATAACGGCGTTACTAACGGCGTTCTTTTATAGGTAACGGAATAATCTAATTAATTACTTTTCCCGCCGTTGCAACGCCGTTACCGTTACTGGGGACGGAACGTTGTGCGTTACTATGTGCTTGTCGAACGTTGAGCAACAGTGTGAGGCTTTCTGACCGCCACACTTCAGCTGCAGCCAGGGAGAGAGAGGTGTCGGTAACGCGCTTACAAACACGATGATGATTGACCGGGTGGGCGGAGACCCTCACCGTCTCAGTCGCTGCATTCTGTAGACACAACGGGAATAACTCCGTTTAAAATAACCGCGTTAATAAAAAATATTTCTTTCTGTAACGAGCAAACTAATTAATTACGTCTTCTTTTATCACAACGTTGTTCATGTTACTGATAAGGAAATGCGTGCGTTAAGCTGCGCGGTGTGTTGGAGCTGTCATCAGCTGATCAGGAACTATAGAGGCAGATGTTTAAGAGCATCACGGCCCGTGAAGAACGAGGAAGACGTGATGAATATCTACGGCTGCAGACCCCCCGCAGATTTGTTGCTGCAGCAGCGAATCTGCGGGTCTGCTGCCGTGTCCTTCTTAGCGTGACAGCGGGACGTCCCGAAGGTCCGCTCACCTGTTCACCGCTCAGACGTCCTGATCTTCTACCTTCCTAGATCATCCAGCTGTAACCTGTTTCTGATCATGTCTTTAGTCCCGCTGTAACACTGATGCATCAGCCTCAGACGTCATGGAGCTCAGGTGTTATTAGAACTACCTGTGTGTGTTTACCACCCAGCTTCAGCTCTTCTGTGGTTGGGTCTGACCCAAGTTAGTAAATGTAAGTCCTCCATCAGGCTGGTGCCTCTTCTAGTGTCATTTTAAAGGATATTTATTTATTTATTTAACCGTTACCAGATTAGCAACAGAAATGCTGCTAAAACACACAATTGTGAAGCTGGAAAAATTAGAATACTGTGCAAAATTACATTTATTTCTGTAATTTAACTAGACTGAGAGACCATTTAAAGGCTCGGGAACCTTTACAGGTGTTTCTATTTGCAATTTAAAATTTTAGCTGATTGGGGTCTTGTTAAATATCACACAGTGACCTTTTAATAGTCTAGATTAGTGTAATGATCCTGTTAGTAGTTCCTCCTGTTAAGTGCTTATTTGTTTAAATTATTCAGGTTTATATAAAACATTTGGACAAATTTTATTATGTTCAGTCATTAGTCATTTATATTTCACTATTGTAGTAATTCTTGCATTCTTTAATGAAAAAAGTAACTAAGCAGTTACTTTTGTTGGTAATTAGTTACTTTTATGATCTTGTAACTCAGTTAGTAACTGATTTACTTTTTTGACAAAGTAATCAGTAACTATAACTAATTACTTTTTTAAAGTAACGTTCCCAACACTGGCTACCAACACTGTTTAAAGTAGTGATGGTGTGCTGCTGACCTCTACTCAGGATGTTGTAGATCGGTGGGCGAAATACTTTGAAGACCTTCTCAACTCCACCGGCATGTCTTCCAGTAAGGAAGCAGGATCTGTGGATTTTAGGGTGAACTCTCCAATCTCTGGTCCTGGGGTCACTGAAGTGGTCACAAAACTCCTCTGTGGCAAGGCCCCACAGGTGGATGAGTTCTGCCCAGTGTTTCTTAAAGCTCTGGATATTATGGGACTGTTTTGGTTGACACACCTTTGCGATATCGCATGGACGTCGGGGGCAGTTCCACTGGATTGGCAGACTAGGGGGTGGTCCCCCGATTTAAAAAGGGGGACCGCAGAGTGTGTTCCAACTACAGAGGGATCACACTTCTGAGCCTCCCTGGTAAGGTCTATTCAGGGGTTCTGGAGAGGAGGGTCCATCGTATTGTCGAACCTCAGATTCAGGAGCAGCAATGTGGTTTTCGTCCAGGCTGAGGAACACTGGACCAACTCTATACCATTAGGGAGATCCTGGAGGGTGCGTGGGAGTTTCCCCAACCAATCTACATGTGTTTTGTGAATTTGGAGACGTTTGACCACATCCCTCGGGGGGCCCTGTGGGGGGTACTCCGGGAATATGTGGTACCAGGTCCTCTGACACGGGCTGTTAGGTCCCTGTATGACCGGTGTCAGAGCTTGGTCCACATTGCCGGCAGTAAGTCGGGCTCGTTCCCAGTGAGAAATGGACTCCACCAAGGCTGCCCTTTGCCACCGATTCTGTTCATAACTTCATCCATCCATTGTCTGAACCCGCTTTGTCCACGTAGGGTCGGGGGGGGACTATCTCCAGCAGTCAATGGGCAATCAGGCGGGGTACACCCTGGACAGAGAGCCAGTCCACTGCAGGGCAACTGTTCATAACTTGACAGGATTTCTTAGAGCAGCCAAGGTGTGGAGGACATCTGTTCTGGTGGTCTGAGGATCAGGTCTTTGCTTTTTGCAGATGATGTGGTCCTGTTGGCTTCATCAGAACGTGATGTGCGACTTTTGTTGGAGCGGTTCGCATCAGAGTGTGAAGCAGCTGGGATGAGAATCAGCTCCTCTAAATCTGAGCCCATGGTCTTGAATCGAGAAAGGGTAGAATGCCTTCTCCAGGTCAAAGATGAGGTCCTGCCTCAGGTGGAAGAGTTTAAGTATCTCGGGGTCTTGTTCACGAGTGAGGGAAAACTGGAGCGTGAGATCGATAGGCGGATTGGTGCTGCATCTGCAGTGATGCGGGCGTTGTACCGGTCTGTCGTGGTGAAGAGAGAGCTGAGCATGGAACATGGCCATCTCAGACGCAACGTCCTCCACTTTCCTCGGTATGTGTTCAAAATTCAATCGGAGGTGGGAATTGAAAACCTATTAGCTCATATGAACACCGTGTTTCGGGGGAGGGGAATTAAGATGCTGGTGATAATGGCACTAACATGTTCACACTTATCTGCAATTATCACAACTATTTGTTCATAACAACCGTAACTGTAGCCTATTACAGGCACATAATGAGGGCTGTTCCCATAGATTATATCATGACTTTAGAAGACATCCGCATCAGGATATCAGCTGTTTGTTTATGAGCAGGAGCAAAGTGAAGACTGCTGTAAAACATCTGCAGCAGAGCGGAGCTTTTGTTGCTTTTTTCTTGGTGTTTTTCCAGTAAACTGAAGACTTTTTTTTATCAAAAGTCAGCATCTTTTAAAACTCAGCAGCGTTTTCTTGATGAAACACTGCGTTACACACACAC